AGTGGAAAGCCCATAACATTGTAAAAGTCGCCATCGATCTTCTCTATCAGTGTGGCGCCGTATCCTTGGATTCCGTATGCTCCCGCTTTGTCTCTATGAACAAATTGGCGATACAACATCTATCTGAGTTTGAAAACACAGCTGTTAAAAGCTTACAGCGGCTCTCCGGTTGATACATATGCCTGAATCATGGCTGGAGTGAGATTTCCGAATTTCACCTTGGAAGCTTCAAAGAATGAAGCAAGAGCTTCAACTAAATTATATGTATTAAGAATAAATGACAAAGGTGATCAGAAATTTCATCACGGGATTTACTTAATAATACCAAATACTTTTACCTGACCTGTTTTTGTTGTCATTGCTATCTGGAGAGCAGCGGCTTAACAGCCCCGTCTGTCTCAGATTAATGACGTCTGATACACAACAAGTAAGTCCTCTGATTTATTCAAGCATTAATCGTTTTGATAAAGAATACACTCTGTCGTACGCAGATCAGCTTCTAATAAGTTTTGCCAACTTTGAAACAGGCTGCCCTTTATTTCTATGCCCTGTGGTGGGCTCCAATAAGTGGAACGGTTTTCTAACCGCTTCTGATGTTCAGCTATTTGATCGAACCCGCATCGCTTTCTTAGTTATTATTCACAGACGTGTTCTTATGATACGGTATGAGAATTTGAACGAGTTACTGGGAAACCACAAATTATGGAATATTTAGTATCCAGGGAGAATGATACGCCTATTATTACTATTCTTTCATGGGTGCCAAGCAGTGGTAGATGAATCGTTGTTTAACCAGTAATTCGTCAACGTTATATGGAATATTCTCGACAAGAAATACTATTAAAAGTAAACTAGCTCAATAAATGTTAGCATGATCTAATATCAAATCATTTTAAAAATTTCTGCCCACATTTCACAGAAACCCGGCTGGTGGAAAGAAATGAGGCACTGTTGTCATATGGATTTAAGTTTTGTATACGATGCCTTGTTCAAAAGTAAATTTCCGCTGATCTCTAAGGAGACTATGGTCAACTAAAATAGGGCATCTTGTAACTTTTCAGCGGGTGATACCCTAGATCTACGCAGTATTATAGCGAACAATACTTGCCTGCTTCATTATGTTTCAGAAAAAGAGCCACTCCAGTGAAAACTTCATGTTCATTTCCGCTGAAGCTAAAAACAAATGTAATAGTAGAATTAAAAAACGAAATGTTATACATTTTAGACAAAATGCCGATTAGTCCAGTCATAATTAAGACTACTATACATTTACTTCAGAAAAAGAAGAAAAAATAAATTCATGGTATCACTGATTGATCACTGTCTAAATGATACTGCTTACCATGAGAGAATCCGAAAGGCATCCTGTGCATCTTTCGGCTTCTCATAAATTTCTCCCTGAAAGCTGACCACTGTATCACAGCCGATGATCACACTCTCCTGGAATTAGCGAAAATATTAATTTCGATGAAAGCTGAAGTATCCACACTACCAACAGAAAGACATCCTAAAATATTTAATTAATAAAAAATTTTTATATTATTTATGAACTTAAAACCAGTGCGTTATTCCCTCCGAAACTGCGACAAGAAATTTCTCCAGAAATGAAATGATGTTTAAAATGTGCATAGCATTTATTTATTTAACATGCAATATCTGGTGAACTGCTCGCCACCAATCTCATAGTCCTATTTAGAGGCAACATAAAACAAGTATGCGAATACTCTTATGA